AATCCTAACTGCACAGAGTTAAGGGCAGGAGCCATCAGGCATGCAATCTTTAGGAGAGGGAGCGTGGAAACTGCCCCCCCCCCCCCCCCCCCCCGCTGGAGAGCCTTTGAAGTTGGGCAGTCATGGACCCAGCCTCACGTCATTCCTGGCTGCATGGGTCATTGACATATTGACAGACTGTGTGGCCCTAGCAGAACACAGAGGGAGAAATGCTATTCACAGGTAAATCTGGCTAAACTCTTAGACCTAAGAGGCTTTGTTTACCTGAGCAAGTTGCAAAATGCTTTACCAATAGGTGTTCCTGGGTAGTACAAAAGGTTATTGTGCTCAGCTGCTAATTGAAAGGTTGGAGGTTTGAGTCCACCTAGAGATACCTAGAAGGAAAGACCTGGTGATCTACTTCGGAAAAACCTGCCACTGAAAACCCTCTGGAGGACAGGTCTACTCAGACACACGTGGGGTCTTGTCTTCATGAGTCAGTGTTGACCATACAGCAGCTAGTTTTACCAGTTAGCAGGTAGCTCCCTGCTGTTTGGGGTGAGTCTCCACCTTGGGCCCAAACTGTAACGTGCTCACTGCTTCCCACTGGCTGCTCGGAGTTGTGCTCTGCAGTGTATTAGTACAAACTATTGATCAATAACTAGGGGAAATCCCTTATGCAGTATTTGGTTTTTGAAACCCTGCTAACTGGAGCCAAGTCTTAGCTCCAAATTTCAGGAAGAACCCTCTCTTCCCGTAACCACAGGAAATACATTTCCTGTAGACACAATTGTCCTACTCTCATCTTCCCTTATTCATGCAAGTTTATCCTGGGGCTGTTGATTTCTAGGCTATTCCTTGGGCTGTTTTATATAATTTGTCTGGAAAAAGGAAAGACAAATCCACATGAATCAATATGTAATGGATGGTGTATATGAAAAACCTAGTATCATGTCTTCTTAATAAATGCTGGATTGGCTCCCCCTCTTCTTGTTTCATCCTTCTGTAGAATGATACCCAGCTATTATCCATACCTTTTGATCCAGCAGCCCCTTCTAGGAATCCAACCTAAAGAGATACTTGGATGAACTCAAAGATGTGTCAGTGAAGAGGTTCATAGAAGCATTGCTTGTGAAATAGCATTAAATAGCATTAAAGCACCATCAGTAGGAAGTCATTACATGTTTTGTCAGACCTGAATGCATTGATGTGGAAAGACGCTCAAGTTGTATTCGAAGTGAAAAATAAACAAGTTACAGAAAAATACAAATAGTATGAACTTTTTTATATAGAACAAATTTCCTTGTGTATCTATGAACATATGTCTGTGCACAGGAGTACTGTACATCAAACTTTTGACAGTAGAGACTTTATTTAGTTGCTTTGTATATTTTTGTATTATTTGTATAGTTTAAAGCAAGAAAGTACTCATGTGTTAAACATTAACCTGCATGTAATGTGGTTTAAAAAAATAACTAAAAAATATTGTTGTTAGGTGCCATTGAGTTGGTTCTGAATTACAGTGGACCTATGTACAACAGAATGAAACAATGCCTGGTCCTGCACCAGTCTTACAATCCTTGCTATACATGAGCCCGTCATTGCAGCCACTGTATCAGTCCATCTCATTTAGGGCCTTTCCCTTTTTCACTGACTCTCCACTTTCCCAAGTATGATATCCTTCTTCAGGGAATGGTCCCTTATGTCAACATGACCAAAGTAAGTGAGACAAAGTCTGGCCATTCTCACTTTCAAGGGCATTCCAGCTGCACTTCTTCCAGGACAGATTTGTTCGTTCTTTGGGCAGTACATGGTACTTTTAATATTCTTCGCCAACACCACAACCCCAAATCATCAACTCTTCTTTGGTCTTCTTTGTTCATCATCCAGCTCTCACATGCATATGAGGCGATTAAAAATACCATAGCTTGGTTAGACGCACCTTAGTCTTCAAGAAAACATCTTTGTTCTTGAGCTCTTTAAACAGGTCTTTTGCAGCAAATTTGCCCAGTGCGATACATCATCTGATGTCTTGACTGCTGTTTCCATTGGTGTTGATTGTAGAACCACGTGATATGAAACCTTTAACAACTTCAATCTGTTCTCTATTTATTGTGATGCTGCTTATTGGTCCAGTTGCGAGGATTTTCATTTTCTTTATGTTGAGATGTAATCCATACTGCAGACTGAAGTCTTTAATCTTCATCAGTAAGTGCTTCAAGTCATCCTCACTTTCAGCAAGCAAAGTTGTGTCATCTGCATATCGCAGGTTGTTAATGAGTCTTCCTCCAATCCTGATGCCACATTCTTCTTCATATGGTCCAGCTTCTCAGATTATTTGTTCAGCACACAGATTGAATAAGTATGGTGAAAGGATACAACCCTGACCCACTCTCTTCCTGATTTTAAACCATGCAGTATCCTCTTGTTCTGTTTGAACGACAGCCTCCTGGCCTGTATACAGGTTTCTGATGTGCACAATCAAGTGTTCTGAAATTCCGATTCTTCTCAATGTTATCCATAATTTGTTATGCACACAATGGAATGCTTTTGCATAGTCAATAAAACACAAGTAAACATCTTTCTGGTATTCTTTGCTTTCATCCAAGATCTGTCTGACATCAACAATGATATCTCTTATTCCACATCCTCTTCTGAATCCAGCTTGCATTTCTGGAAGTTCTCTGTTACTATACTACTGCAACCATTTTTGAATTTTCTCCAGCAAGATTTTACTTATGTGTGATATTAATGGTTTTGTTCAATAATTTCCCCATTCTGTGGGATCACCTTTATTTTAAATGGGTACAAATATGGATCTCTTCTAGTCAGTTGGCCAGGTAACTGTTTTCCAGATTTCTTGGTATAGACAAGTGAGTGCCTCCAGTGGGGCATTAGTTTGTTAAAACATCTCACTAGGCGTTCCATCAATTCCTGGAGCTTTGTTCTTTGCAAATTCCTTCAGTGCAGTTTCAACGTCTTCCTCTAGTACCATTGGTTCTTGATCATATGCCACCTTCTGAAATGGGTGAACATCAACCAGTTCTTTTTGGTACAGTGACTCTGTGTATTCCTTCCATCTTCTTTTGATGTTTCCTGCATCATTCAATATTTTGCCCATAGAATCTTTCAGTATTGCAACTCGAGGCTTGAATTTTTCCTTCAGTTCTTTCAGCTTGAGAAATGCCGAATGTGTTCTTCCCTTTTAGCTTTCCAACTCCATGTCTTTGCACGTTTCATTATAATAATTGACTTTGTCTTCTCGAGTTGCTCTTTGAAATCTTTTGTTCAGCTCTTTTATCTTGTCATTTCTTCCATTTGCTTTAGCTACTTTCTGTTCAAGGGCAAGTTTCAGAGTCTCTTCTGCCATCATTTTGGTCTTTTGTTCCTTTCCTGTCTTTTTAATGACCTTTTGCTTTCTTCCTGGATGATGTCCTTGATGTCATCCCACAGTTCCCCTGGTTTTTGGTCACTGGTATTCAGTGCATCAAATCTTTTCTTTAGATGGTCTCTAAATTCAGGAGGGATATAATCAAGGTCATATTTTGGCTCTTGAGGACTTGTTTTAATTGTGTTCAGCTTCAACTTGAACTTGCATATGATCAGTTGATGGTCTGTTTCACAGTCAGCTCCTGGCCTTGTTTTGGCTGAAGATACTGAGCCTTCTCCATCTCTTCTTTCCACAGATGTAGTAGATCTGATTCCTGTGTACTCCATCTAGCAAAGTCCATGTATATAGCCACCATTTATGTTTTGAAAAAGGTATTTGCAATGAACAGTCTCGTTGGTCTTGTAAAATTCTATCATGCGATCTTCAGCATTATTTCTATCACCCAGGCCATATTTTCTAACTACCGGCTGTATCTTACAACTCAAAAGTATAATCAGGTTAAATTTTTAATGAAATAAAAATTCTTTAGTCTATTCTTTTGTTTCAGTCAGACACTTATTCAAATGTTTGAGGTCTCCATAACATGGGGATAACTCAAGGATATTTTGTTAGGTTTCTCTCTTTTTTTTTTTAAATGTGTTTTTCCTTTTTTCAAATGTATTTTTCCTTCAAGTGCTTTAATATGTGTCAAGCACAAGTGTAAGAGATTTATACCTTCTCTCATTTCATTTTCACTGAAGCTCCATTTTACAGATGAGGAAATTGAGACACAGAAAGGGCAAGTGGCTTGCCTAAAACCACAGTCTTTCCGATTCTGGAGCCTGTTGGTTAACACACAGTGTTCTGTTGCATCTCTGATTAAGAACATGATTAAAAATGAAACAATCCACTTGCCTATTTTAGACATTTCATTTAAGTGGGATCATACAATATTTGTCCTTTTGTGAGTAACTTGTTTCACTCAGCACAATATTTTCAAGGTTCATGTGGTAGTATGTATATATTTCTTTTCTCTTTATGGCAGAGTAATAATTCCATTGTATGTATGTACCACATTTTGTTTATCCATTTTCATGGACTTGTAGGCTATTTCTACCTTTTGGCTATTGGGAATGGTGCTGCTGTGAATATTTGTGTATAAGATTGCATTGCTGCTTTCATTTCTTTCGGGTGTATGCCTAGGAGTGGAATTACTTGGTCATATGGTTGTTCCTTGTTTAACTTTTAGTGGTTTATCAGGGCCAGTAGGGAGGGGGAATGGGGGCCACTACTTAGGGGCACTAAGCTTTTGTAAGAGTAATGGAAAAACTTGGAAATGAATAGTAGTGATGATTACACAACTTGGTGAATATAATGCCACTGATTTTTTTACATGTAGAAGAATGTTGAAATGGCAAATATTGTTATACATATACTTTACCACAATTAAAAAAGTGGAAACAATAATGTTTAGTGAAGTTGGCTTTTGATAAAGCTGAAATCAGTCTCAAAACAAAGCACTCTTGGCCCTAATCTCCTCATCTGTAAAAGGGGATTGAACTGAATCACTTCCAAGTCCTTCTACTCTAACATTCTGTGATTAGGGACACTTGCCATTTGTTTTTAATGAGTATTTACTTCTTTCCCACAGTACGTAGGAAGCTTGGATGTGCCGAGGCCTAACAGCAGGGTGGAGATAGTGGCTGCCATGCGCCGGATAAGGGTGAGTGACTGAGGTGGGGCTTTGTGGAACTAGCACTCGAATGTATCAACTGCTGGAGGTGCCAAAACGAATGGCTGCACCTTCTGCTCTTTGCAAACCTCAGACCTCTTCTCTCTATACTGTTCAGGGAAGCTGTTCTGAGCAGGGTGGTTGATCTTGACTAAAGATCAGGTTAAAATAAGTACGATGGCTGGAGAAGTAGCATTCTTGCTGTCTGGTGACCTGATGCTTCTCAAAGTGAGATGCATGCTTACCCTTGAATGGTGTGTGGATAAGAGAAAGTGGTGAAGTAGCTTTTGCATTCAAAGATTTTAGGAAGAAGTTTCAGTAATTAGCTGGTGATTGGCTCAAAACATTTTCAAAATACAGCTACTTATTATGGTATAGAAAATAAGATGTATTTCAATTTTTAAGAACAAATGTGAGATTTTAACAAAATTTTCTTGGTTGACTGTTAGCCTCTGGAAATATGTGCATACTCTTCTGCCATTCTGTGTACGTTAGAAGAGTTTGGCAGCCATTCCAATCTGTTACTTTCTGACTCTGTGGTACATGGAGCAGAGATTAACAAGAATTACATTGTGTTCTAATGACTGTCCAGGAATTTGTCCATGTGCTCGCCACTGAAACAGGAGAAATTACTATAGACTTGGACATTTCAAAGATAGGTTTGGGATTGTAGTTTTTCACATGGTCTCATGAGAATGTATAAATTTCATTATATTAGTTGTTTGAGAGAATAAATTGTTAGAGGAGGTGGGATTGGTCATCCCTGGCTGTAGCCTGGTTTGGCCTCATTGTCCTTCAGGATTATCTACTCACAAAACATGTAGCAGATGGTGCACCCTTCATTTTGCTTGACCACTTATAGTTTTAGGCAGTTCTTCATCTGATTGACAGAAATCTAAATTCAGTGACAGCACTGATTTTTTTTTTTTAATTGTGATTTGGATGAAAGTTTATAGAGAAAATTAATCTTCCATACAGCAGTTCACATACATTTTGTCTTATGGCATTGACTGCAGTCTCCCATGATGCAACAGCTCTCCTCCCACTTTCTCCCCATAGCCACCTCTTCCCTGTGTCCTTCCCTCCCATGCACTCCTGCCCCCTGAGCTGTCTCCTTATGCATAGACAGCCCTTCTATTCTCCCATGATTTATCTCTCCAAGGAGTGTATCTGCCTAATGTAAATGGCCAGCTCACATGCCTGTCTTTAGTTTGGGTGGAAGCCACAGGAGTGGGTTCAATTCCAGACCTGAAGGGCAGATAGGGCCCATGGTCTCAGGAGTTCCATCAGGACCTATCAGACCCCCCCCCCCTTTTTTTAAATGATTTGAGTTTTGTTCTACATTGTTCTCCCATTCTATTCAAGATCTCCTGCATAGATCCCCCTCCAAGTGGTTGACAGTGGTACCTGGGCACCATCTGGTTCTTCTAGTCTCATAGTTGTATAGGCTGAGGATCACATGGTCTGTCAATTGCTTGAACTAATTGTTTTGATGGGTCTTTGTTTTTCTTCTTTCTCCTTTGCTCTGGATGAGGAGAGATGCATCGTTCCATCTAGATGGCCGCTTGCGAGAGTGAGAACAACTTTGAGAAGAAAGTTAGCATGTTTGCTACTGTTTCTCTGAGTAGTTTATCAACCTAATAAACCAATCTTGTCACTGCCATGATCTTTCCAGTCTTTCAACATTTTTTATTATTAAATTGAATTTACTGAAATTACTGTCAACAGTATTAATTTTCATGAATATAGTGATGTATAGCTTCAAAGTAAGGATTCCTGGAAGAGCAGTGGTGAATCACTCAGCTGGTAACCAAAAGGTTGGTAGTTTAAATCTTCTAGCTTCTCTGCAGGAGAAAGATGTGGCCATCTGCCCCTGTAACAGTGGAAACTCTATGAGACACTTCTCTGTCCTTTAGGGTTGCTTTAAGTTGGAATTGACTCGACAGCAGTGGCGACCATTGTTAGGGTGGGCTGCTGCCCTCATCACTGTTGCCATTGTTGCTGCTATGATGAGGAGGACTGGAACTGGAGCTGGCCTCTTTTCTGAAGTTTTGACCAAAATAATTCTCTGTGTCATGTTTGACTAAGGTGTGGGGAAGAGGTTGCTGTTCATATCACTATCCGTAATAACATTAGCTATAGATAATAATAACCCACTGCCTTCAAGTCAGTTCCAACTCATGGGGAAGAGGTTGCTGTTCATATCACTATCCGTAATAACATTAGCTATAGATAATAATAACCCACTGCCTTCAAGTCAGTTCCAACTCATTGCAACCATGCAGGACAGAGTAGCACTGCCCCGTAGGGTTTCCAAGTCTGTAAATCCTTTTGGAAGCTGACTGCCTCGTCTTTGTCCCATGGAGTGTCTGGGGGGTTTGAACTGCCAACTTTTTTGGTTAGCAGTTAAATGCTTTAACCATTGTGCCACCAGAGTGCCTTAAAAATAGCTACTATTTATTTAGCACATACTGTATGTCATATGGGAGCTCTGGTAGCGTAGTCCCTAAGTCACTTGACTGCTAACCAGAAGGCTGGTGATTCAAATTTACCAGCCACTCCTCGGAAGGAAGGTTGGGCAATCTACTATCATAGTGATACTGCCTTGGAAACCCAAGGAGGGGTCTCTGTGAGTTGGATCTGACTCGGTGGCAGTGAGTTTTTTTTTATTTTGGTTATATGTCATATGCTTTGTTGGGTTTTTAAATATTGAAATAATGTTTTATCATTTTATTTATGCTTTGTAACTACTCTAGATGAGATAAAGATATTATTATTTGCAAACCTTCTGGAGCACAACAGAATATGGTGCTGGAAGATGAACCTCCTAGGTTGGAAGGTATCATACAAGAGGTACAACAGTGGGCTCAGATATGCCAGTGATCATAAAGATGCCACAGGACTGGGTAGCATTTTGTTCTGCTATACGTAAGGTCACTATGAGCTGGAGCTGACTTGATGGCAACTACTAGTAACATAACTAAGGAGGTGGAAGCTTGGGAAAGTTAAAGAATTCATTCAGGGTCAAATTGCTGTTAACAGATGGGGCTGGCATTCATACCCAGGACTGTGCTGCCTCCTTTGTGTCCCCACTAAAGGCTCTTTGTGATGCTCTTTGGGTGATGACCGAGTTGAGGAGCCAAAGGATTAGGGCATGGAAACTCTCCAGTAAGGGAGGCAGTGCAGAAGCATAGCTTTGTAGAACTTTGTGCAGGAGAACATCACCTGGAAGCAGGAGAACATCACCTGGGGGCATGGGATCCAGAGACCTTTGTGGCTGGAGTGACACCCTAGTCTCTGTCCCTCCTCATCTGTCAGTGCTCTGGCCCATGCACCTCTTCCTTCAGCTTCCTTCTCTGTGAGCTGCTTCCAGTGCTTAATGAGAAGCTCATTAAATTAGAGGGAGGAATTAATTGGCCAGAAAGCTGTTTGGTTTGGCTGTCCAGTCACTTGTTTAGACTGGCCACCATTAACAGCAAAAGCTCTGAGTGTGTGTTTTACCCTGAACCCCATAATTCACTCTTGGTCCAGGCTGCTATTTTCTACTCTTTTCTCCCTTTCAAAAGCTATTTTGGCTGTAATTACAGCTTTCAAGAACTGAGGCATGGATTTTTGTGTAAAGGACTTTTCCTGACTCCATCCTTTTCTATTGAATGGTGCTGGAGTTACACGGGGCAGGAGGAGACTGCGGGGTTCTGGTTGCTGGATGTGTTCATGGTTTCTTAAGACACAGGCCCCACATCTTGGCCAGAGGAGCAGATAGTCCTCAGAGGGAAGAATTTATGATAAGGATCACAGTGCCTGTATTTGTGAAATGCTTTATACCTTGCCAAACCCTTTATTTGCCAATCTCTGTGACCCTCTCTGGAGCTCTGTACAGGACAGCTGATAGTAAAGATGGCCTCTACTTTTCAGATGGGCAAGTGCTCAGAGCAGTGAGGTAATCTACCTGAGAGAGCATTCATCCTTTGGGCTAAGGCTCCAGCAAATGTATAGGTCTCTGTTCCTTCCCCAGTTTGGTTGTTTCTGAGCTAAATAGATGGACTTTGTTGATTTGACTGGTATTTTTTCCTTTCTATTTCTTATTTCTCTCTTGCATTTTTAATTTCCTTTCTAAAGTTGTGTTATCTGTCTTGGCCTTTTTAATTTTTTTGTAATTCAAGTGCTTTCAAGGTATTTTTGCTTTGTACCACCTTGCATGCTGACCCATTAGATAGGTGGGTTTTCTTTTTCTAGTAAGGAAGGAACTGTTGGACCCCGATGGTCTGAGGAAGCAGGACATGCATCGACAATGGCTCACCAGGTTGCTTGTTATCACAGGGGGTTCCTGGATGAACCGCTTCAGACCAGGGCTTGGGAGTTCCTTATATTATACTAAGTACTAGATGTAGGACTGTTCCTTGTGGTTAGGACTACATGCTAGCACAACTGTTGGTATTAAGATGCTCCAGAGCGAAAAATTAATCAGAGCTTCTTAAAAATCATGCCATGAATTTAGCCTTTTCACCATCACCTCTCTAACAATCCCCCAAGTATAATCACTTCTCACCCTCCCTGGTCCTGATTACCCTCAGTGGGATGCTGCCTCAGGGTACTGACCATTGTTGGCCTATTCTTGGGACACTACATTAGGAGGCTGGTTAGCTGGAGACCACACTGGTGAAGCCTGAGATGTGAGAGATGGTGGAGGAAGAAGTAAGGTGTGGGAGAGCCAGCCCCACCCCAACTGGGTAAAGGTGTTTAGTGCTTCCTCTGACCTTGTGACTAATAATTATTTATATGTATTTATAACTGCTGTATTTACAACTATAAAAACATCTTCACACATTATTTCATTTGATCAGCCCAGTTTGTTCCTATTTGTTACTCCTCCTTGATGGGAGGTGGGCAGGTGGGGCAGAGAAGGAAGGGATACCTACCTCACTGTCCATGTAGGCTTTTGAATCTACTCCGCCACCTTCCTTCTTAGCTTCCTACTCTGGGATTTGCCA